ATATATACCTCTAGTGTCTGCTTAATTATTATTCAGTTTGTTAGCTTTCAAACCCATGGTTAACTATAATATTTTTGACTGATTGGGCACAATTTTTTTTTTTTCAGAGAGGAAGGTAGAGGAAGAGAGAGATAGAAGCATCAATGATGAGAGGGAATCATTGATTGGCTGCCTCCTGCACATTGGACCAAGCCTGCAAACCCAGGCATGTGCCCTTGACTGGAATCAAACCTGGGACCCTTCGGTCTGCAGGCCAACGCTCTATCCATTAAGCCAAACTGGCTAGGGCACAATTACTTTTATGAATTTTATTATGAATTTGGTATATTTCCTACATTAGCATATATTATGGAAAATGTGGGAAAACCAGTGAAAACAGCTTGCTTAATAAGTGAAACTGAAATGCTAATGTCACAAAGAAAAAGTTTTCCCTAAAATTTGGAATCTAAAAATCCAATATGTTGTTTGAAAAAATGAATACAATACATCCCATATAATAAAAGCCTAATATGTAAATTGTCCCCTCAGGCAGTTGTTCTACTGGGAGTTCAATTGCTCACTCTGATGTGTGCTGACCACCAGGGGGCAGTGCAGAACATGGCAGGCGTCAGTGACATGCTGTGACCTCTCGCCAGCTACCTGGGGGCAGGGCTGACAGGGATGGAGGTGTGGTGAGAATGCGGGGTATTCACCAAGTTCGCTCTCACTACCCCTGCTACCCTCCCATGGGATGCCAGGGCTCACATGCCAGGGAAGCCCCCATGCTCAGGTGCCAGGCACCTGCAAGAAGCCCACCCCGCACCCACATGGCCTCTTCCTGGTAAGCCAGGCCACAGCCGCTGGGACTCGCAGGGGCCAGTAGGGCTCCCCATGGGTTCGCACAGGAGCCAGTCTGCGAGGCTGGCCAGGAGAGCACACTGCCCAACCAGCTTCCGTGCGGCGCTGCTGGGTGGCCCAGAAGCCCACGCTGTGCCCTGGCCCGTGGTGTCCAGCCACACTCACCACATCTCCACTTGGGGACTTGGGCGCCGTGACTCAGGCACAGGGGGTTGTGTGGGGACCTGGGGGCCCAGGTGCTGCCCAGGGCCCAGAGGTCAGCTGGGACCTGCCCGTCCACCCCAGATGCTCGCGCTTCGATCACCGGCCAGGCCTAGGGACCGCACCCATGCATGTATTTCCTGCACCAGGCCTCTAGTAAATACATAAAGTAAAAGGTGATATTCCCATACTTTGTTTCTTAGTCCCATTTGCCAAAGGTAACTCATTTTATAAATTTGGGTTAAATTTACATATCTCCTTTATATTTTCATATTTACCTACACAAATCTTGCATTATGAAGTTTGCTCCTCATATCATGGTTTTAAATTATATAACACTAGAGGCACAGTGCACGAATTCATGCACGGGTGGGGTCCCTCTGGGTGGCCTGCAGGGATCGGACCCAAACCTGCAGTCTAACGCCACCTGCAGTTGGACTGCCACTCCCGCTCATCCCGGCCCCACTGTGCCTGCCTTGGGCTCGTGCCCAATCAGTCCCGATCGGGAGAGGCTTGCACTGCCACAGCAGTGCTTGCCAGCCACGAGCCCTGCATCTGGCACCCTCCCAAGGGGAGTGGCTTGCGGGACCAGACTGAAACTGGCTCTCTGACATCCCCCAAGGGGTCCCAGATTGTGAGAGGATGCAAGCCAGGCTGAGGGACCCCACCAGTGCATGATCGGGCCAGGGAGGGACCACAGGAGAGCTCCAGGGTGTGTACAGCCCTTCTCACTCAGTGCCAATCAGCAGCAAGCTAACCTATCGGTGGGAGCATCTGCCCCCTGGTGGTCAGTGCACGTCATAGTGACTGGTCAAACTATCAACTGTCTGCCCCCTGGTGGTCAGTGCATGTCATAGCAAGCGGTTGAGCTGCCTTAGCATATCATTAGCATATTATGCTTTGATTGGTTGTTCAGTTCTGCCGTTTGGTCTATTTGCATATTACCCTTTTATTATATAGAATGTCATCCCCCTAAGTAGTAAGATTTGGTGTATTACTATCCTAAATCATTTGTAGATTTTTAAATTTCTGAATTGTGGTAAATAATTTAAAATTGAGGAAAACTAATCCTATCTAATTAAGAGGGAATATACTAATTGACCCTCACGCCATCGCAAAGATGGCAGCGCCCACAGCCAATAAGGGGGGGATATGCTAATTGACTACCCCGCCCTCAAAGATGGCGGCACCCACAGCTAATAAAGAGAGAATATGCTAATTGACCTCCCCGCCCTCAAATATGGCAGCACTCACAGCCAATAAGGAGGGAATATGCTAATTGACTGCCACACCCTCAAGAAGGCAGCGCCCACAGCCAATAAGGAGGAAATATGCTAATTGACTGCCACGCCCTCTAAGATGGTGGCGCCCACAGTCACAAGATGGCCGGCAGTGTGGGCAGTTGTGGGCAATCAGGCCAGCAGGTGAGAGCAGTTAGGGGCAATCAGGCCAACAGGGGAGGGCAGTTAGGAGGGACCAGGCCTGCAGGGGAGGGCAGTTAGGGGCAACCAGGGTGGCAGAGGAGGGCAGTTGGGGGCAGTCGGGCCAGCAGGGGAGCAGTTAGGTGTCGATCAGGTTGGCAGGGGAGTGGTTAGGGGGTGATCAGCCTGGCACGCAGAAGCGGTTAGGGACAATCAGGCAGGCAGGCGAGTGGTTGGGAGCCAGCAGTCCCAGATTGTGAGAGGGATTCCAGATCAGAGAGGGTGCAGGCTGGGCTGAGGGATGCCCCCCCCCCCAGTGCACAAATTTCGTGCACCGGGCCTCTAGTTTCATATAAATTGGTCATCATTTGTTTCTCCAGTGTCGTAACAGATAAAATGGTTATCTTATATCAGTGATTCTCAACTGGGAGCAGTCTCCCCACTCTACCTCCCCCAGAAATTTGGCAATGTTTGGAAACATTTTTGGTTATAATGTGGGGTAGATGTAATGATGCTAATGGCATCTGGTAATAAGAGTTCACGGGTGCTGCTAAACATCTTACCTAATAATAGACAAACGTAAATTAACCATCCCTCCGCTACGCTCATCAGCCAATCAGGAGAGTATGCAAATTAACCCAACAAAGATGGTGGTTAATTTGCATACATAGGGGCGAAGCAGTGGAGCGAAGACTGAAGGCTCTGTCCAGAATGAAGGCCTGGGTCCCGGGTGCCGGTGCTGGCAGCCAGGGGAAGGGAAGGCCTATTGCACGAATCTCTTCATGCAGCGGGCCTCTAGTCCTATATAATGCACAAAACAGCCCCCACCCCATCTCCAATAAAGAATTATCAGGTCCAAAATGTCATTAGTGCCAATGTTGAGAAAGCCTTTCTTATTTGAGAGTAGTTAAGGGGGAGGAGTACCCAGGCAACTGCTTAGGTTCATATCTCAGTCCTACCACCTAATGTGTGACTGTGGGTGGTTATTTAACCTCTCTGTCTGTGCCGCAGGTTCCTTATCTAAGTAATATTAATAGTACCTGTCTTACAGGGTTGTTGAGAGACTATGTAAACATTATAAACAAATAGTGCCTGGCACCTATGTAGGAACTCGATAAGTGTTGGCAATTATGGTTTTGTTGTTAATTTTTTTTTTCTGCAAAAAGCTTTATTGTTTCATTTGGTCCAATGCATGGGAGAGGGCTTCAGGGTTGTTAAAAGACTGGCTGGTCGTTTCAGGAAGAGGCTCAGATAAAAGCTAGAGACACCAGGGGGATGTGAGGGGCCTCTGAAAGGCCTCTGGGCTCCAAAGGTTCCTAGTCGTGCTTGAGGGTGAGTCTTTCGAAGCGATACTCGCCCAGCCCAGCCTGGGGGCCAGCCAGCCTGCGGATGTTAGTCAGGTGGTCACCCATCTTCTTGATCAGTTTCACCTCCTCATCTAGGAAGTGGTTCTCTAGGAAGTCGCAGAGATGAGGGCCTGCATGGGTAGAACCCAGGGTCTGCAGCTCCCAAAGGGCCTGGTTCAGGTTCCTCTCCAAGGCCAGGGCGGCTTCCATGGCGTCCTGAGTTTTGCCCCAATCATCTTGGGAAGGTTTCTGCACGTCCTGGAAGAGAATGCAGCCACCACACTTGTTTTGCAACTTTAGGAGATGCTCAGCTCCCTCGCGCTTCTACTCTGCCAACTTGTGGAAGAAGTGGCCCACACCCTCAAGAGCCACATCCTCATGGTCAAGATAGTAGCCCAGAGAGAGGTAGGTGTAGGAGGCCCGCAGATGCAGGCTGACCAGGCGATAGACCACAGCCTCCACCTCGGTGGAATAATTCTGATGAATTTGGGAGCTCATGGTTGTTCAGCAATAAAGAGTTAAGGTAGAAAAAAAACCCGTGTGTTGGCTGCTCCGGAGGTGGTTCTGAAGGTGGTGACTGGATGAGACTCAGGAGAGTGGTCGGAGGCTGGAAGAAGGGGCGTCCCTGGGTCTGTTGCGTCCAAACACTGTTGAAGCAAGAGACAGATCTGGGACCGCCGAGGGCACTTGTTGTTAATTTAACATGGAATTCATACCTACAATTAAAGTTACAGATTTTTCAATTTCTCTGATTTGTAAACAAGTATGTCAGTAAAAATTAAAAACTAACCAAAAGAATAAAATCAGAGCATTCTAAAATTCTTATTAGTCCCATAATTTGAGTTTCCCCCACATTATGTGATTTACTAAGTTAGCAAGATTATGAGACTTATTATGTTAACTACACTCCTATACAGGCCGTCCTTGCGTTAGTCGGACTCGTAGTACGTCGTTTCGTGGTTATGTCGCCATCTCCCATTTATTTATTAAAAAAAAAAAGTTCCATTATTTCGATGTATGTACATATGTGCTTTATGTTTTTTATTATTTATTTACCACAAGTAAAGGTCGGGAATTGTTATCTTTCTTTTAATTTTTTTTTACTGTTTCACTTCATTACTGCTGTGTATGTGCTCCATGGGAGAGACATAGGTGCTTATGTAGGTGGGTTCCAACTTACGGCGAAAATCGCATTATGTCGTGCCATAGGAACAGATCTCCAAGGTAACTCAAGGACCTACTGTATACTATTTTATACATATATTACTTATTTAAAATATTACGTTGTGAGTGATGATGCATCTCACAGAGCAGCATCCCTTAAACCTGAGACATTATTTCATTGGTCCTTTCCCCTAGGGCAGTGGTCGGCAAACTCATTAGCCAACAGAGCCAAATATCAACAGTACAACGACTGAAATTTCTTTTGAGAGCCAAATTTTTTAAACTTAAACTATATAGGTAGGTACATTGTTATTAACTTAATTAGGGTACTCATAAGCTAGCCTTTGCTAAAAACGTCCTCAATCTGATTGAGGTACGTTCACTGAGGTCGACCCCTTCCAACTCTCCCATCCACACTCGTCTTGTATACTTGTTTCGTCTATCTCCTTTCGTTCATCCTCTCTATATGTCCAAACCATCTCAACATATCTTTCTCAATCCTCGACACTACATCTTCTTTCACTCCACAACGTTCCCTAAAATTAACTTAATAAACTTTACTTAAAGTTTTAAGTCCACTTCGCACTGTCCGTGCGCGCCCGCACGTGGTATTTTGTGGAAGAGCCACGCTCAAGGGTCCAAAGAGCCGCATGTGGCTCCCGAGCCGTGGTTTGCCGACCACTGCCCTAGGTTCTGTAGTTGCAGTTTTTGTTCTCTTGAAAGTCCTAACTCTTATAGCATAATTCAGGAAGTATGTGTTCATAACAAAAAGAAAAGATATTAAATAATTTTTATTTGAATTGAATTCCAGACTTGTTTCTTCATGGTTAAACCTTTTTCTTTTGCTTTCCTCAACATTAAAAATCCGTTTCTGATCCTTCTCCATTCATAGGCTGATGAAGACATTTTGGGGAGGCATTGCAATGTGTTCAGTGTATTAAAACTGAGGTTATTTTTAGAGGTAATAGAAAATACTTTAGTCACATCTTGGTTTTGTTTCTTCTTTTAATAACTGTTGCAATGTCCTACAAAATTCATTAACCTTAAGTAATATTTTGTTTCTCTCTGCTCTCCCTGTTAGTGAAGTAATTAATAAACTGTCGTTATATTAAATGTATCATTAAACTAAATAAAAACTTAATTCAAAATATTTTTATATACCTTACAAATATAAAAATATCCAGAAAAAAAACAAACAGATTTACAATGGATAGTGCTGCTGTTTTTTAGGAACTGTTGGAAAATTTATTTTCTTTATAATTTTAGTAACATAATAAATGGCACAGAAAAAAAAACATTCTTGTACTAAAAAAGACTGTGTGTGAGTGGTATAGAGTACATCAATTTCTTTTTCTGTCTTTCATTGCTTTCTTCCTTTTTTTTTTTAAGTTCAGTTTTAGTTTTTTACCACTTGATGGCAGTGATGGAGCTGGAGCTATCCAAGAAGGTTAGGGAAAGGCCTCATTATGAATAACAAAAGGGTAGATACAATAGAAATCTCTGACATTTTAATATTATTCACATTTCTAGGTGCTATTACTTATATTGCAAGTGACAGTAATAGGGAGAAAGCCTCTAGATGGAGCTTCAGTACTTTCTAAGGGAGAATATTTGCTATGTCTTTCTAAATACGTGCTGTATATTGTTTTACATAATATATTGATTTTTAAAAAATAATATTTAAGGATGAATTTATGTCAGTTGTAATTAGGGAGATGAATTCACCAAGCCCATCAGTAATTTGAGAAATGGTTATTTAGTATCTTAAATTTCTATTTCATTGTCAACATTTATTGAAAGTATGTTAAAAGTGTTAGCCAAATGATCCTAACTACAATTAGAATGAGCTTGCATATCTAACAGGTTAGTAGAAAACATTTTATTAATAGGAAATCAGGTGCTTAAAAATCAATATTGTACCCATCTATCTTGTTAATTGTTATGCCTATTATCATTTAATATTTATGTTCTTAAGGGAACATACTTTTCTAATTCCCCAATTTTAAAAAAATTAAAATTTAAATTAATCAACATTTATGAAATTTCATGCCAAATATTCTTTTAAAGAACAAACATGTTCTTTAGTAAATATTCTTACTCTCATCAGAAATGTTTTCCTTTTATAGTCAAATAGAGTCTATTATTACTCTGTATCAAAGTGAGGTTGTTATTTTCATTAGAAAAAAAAATGGATGTTAATGTTTTCAATATACAGTTGATCTTAAGTTCTACTTCTTTTAGAATAACAAGAAAACTCAAAACAAGAAGTTTTCTTACCTTCCTACTAGTATCCCATTACCTGAACTGTGATGTCTTAAAATTATTTCAGTAAGTATGTGCTGTTGGTTTATAATTGATATTTTTGGCACTGAAAATGTTAGAGGGAAACCATCAGTAGTATTTGGTTTGATATTGACATAAATGTTTTATGTTGAAAGAGAATGTCTAACTGGAGAATCATATAAGAAGCATGAAAATGGTTTGCGGTGGTTTTACTTTTTTTTAGTTTATTGAATAAAATTCTTATTCTCTATTGAGACATAAAGCTTCCTGAAACAGAGTAGTTGCCAGTAACTTTTTATAATTACATTTAATTATAGTGTTAGTTAACAGTTTAGTTTTGGCTAAGCAAATTCATTTCAGGTTGTATAAGAAATGAGCTAAATTTGCAACATAATTTGATTGTTAATAACCTCAGTAGTAACAATCTCCCCGAAAGCAATGTGTTGCTTTGTTTGTTTTTTACCTTACTAAATTTTGGGACTCTGGTTTAAAGGGAACACATTTCAGCAACATTTCATAATTTTTCAAGTGTCTCCTTTTGGTTGTTTGCGGCAGCACAAATTCATTTTTACCTATGCCGCCATCTTGGTCTCTCTGCAACATAATTTGATTGTTAATAACCTCAGTAGTAACAATCTCCCCGAAAGCAATGTGTTGCTTTGTTTGTTTTTTACCTTACTAAATTTTGGGACTCTGGTTTAAAGGGAACACATTTCAGCAACATTTCATAATTTTTCAAGTGTCTCCTTTTATTACTAAAACCTAAACCAAATACTTGCATTATCTTCGCTTTCAACTTCGTAAAGAAATGGATTTGAAAAGATATGGTCTGTTTCTCGGATAAGCAATTTGCAAATCAAAAATTTATGCTTTTACGAATGTCTGTAAATGATAACCTTGTAATAGTAGTTACTATTTAAATAAATTCCTTTAAAATAATTATGGTTAAGTTTCAGCTTCAATTGTAACTTAAGGAAACTCTCTTGACAAAGGAAAACTGAACCGTTCTCCATTTCTCGGAAGCATTTGCCCTGTGAAGAAATAGGTTATATATCAAGTTAATTTTACATGTTAAAACTTTTTTTTTAGGGAAAAAGAATAAAGCATGCACTTATTATTAACTACATACAAACAAATCTAAAACTGGCATAAATTTGGTGGAGGAAAATTACCTTGAGGTTGCTGAGTTGCATTTTCTGTTTTTTATTCAGCTGGTGTTAGGTAGTATCATCTTGAGTATTTAAAATGCATTTAGATTGCTTTTGCAGGTATTAGCACCAAAATCTGCAATAAAGCGTTTCTATTGACTTAACACTTACAGTTTTATTTAGAATATTATGTTCACTTGCAGCATTAGTACTATAAACTTCATTAACAGTAAAAGTCATTATCAATAAGATAAAAATAATTTAACCAAGTAAAAAAGGACAATAAAATTCTTTCTTTTTGGAAGCTAGTTTTTAAAAATAAATTTTCCTGAAATGTACATAGTCTACTTACCAGGTTTTTATTAAACCATATGTTGAAAATAAAATAAGCACAAGGAAATCTGTAGCATGTATTATAGTGCTTAATAAAAATCTTTTAATTTGTCAAAATATTTTATGAATATACAAGAAAAAGCACTGGCACTGCTCCTATTAACACAGACTCTGAACAATACAGATTACATCTGTCAATTATGTCTGTCAATCCCATTATATGTGTTTGAATGTTGTATTTCCACTTGTGTTCAAGTTTTTTTGTTTGTTTTTTAATATATTTTTACTGACTTCAGAGAGGAAAGAAGAGGGAGAGAGAGACAGAAACATCAATGTTGAGAGAGAATCATTGATCGCTGCACGCCCCACACTGGGGATCGAGTCCGCAACCTGGGCATGCGCCCTGACTGGGAATCGGACTATGACCTCCTGGTTCATAGGTTGACACTCAATCACTGAGCCACGCTGGCCAGGCTTGCGTTCAAGTTTTGATTTTATATTAATATTGGATAGCTTTCATTACTATCTAAAATATAATTATATAGTAGCTAGAAAAATGAATTGGTTCTCTAGTTACTTAAACCTTTCATTTGTTATAGCATTAAGGAATTCATATTTTATTTTACTTTAAAAAAAAATTATTATAGTAAAATAATTTGTGTTTCATTTTATATTATATCATCGGGCTACCTAAGCTATTGAAATATTTTCCCAAGATACACAATTTTTTGAAAAAAGTCTTTTAATGAAGTTGTACTACACAGTTGATTTCTTGGTGTTGTTCCCGATCCTGGATCCATCCCCTTTCCCTAAAAGTTTCATTATTAAGCAAGAAAAAAATATTATTACTACTTTGATAACTCCATGACTTTTTAAGCTAAAAGACAAAAAATATCAATGAACAAACCCTCTGAAATAGTCTCCTGTATCCTTTAAATTTTTATGAAGGTAAATCACACTAAGTGAAAGGCCATATTAGTGTAATTAATATAGATGTAATTTTTATGGTAAAGGTATTATTTTAATTTTAAATATAAAATTTGTTAAGACTTTTAAGTGACATAGCTCTGATTTATGAAGCAAATTTATTTGCATTCAAATATAAGTGTGATGGTCTACAAAAATTATCGTTGATTGAAAATACATATATACTTAAAAATTAGCTGATACCTAAAAAAGAAACATCTATATGAATTAGTAGCTTATTAATCAAGGTTAACTAAATAATAAAGTCACGTAGTAAGGCAAAGTGTATATAAAGTCTGTAGAGTGAATTATAGTATATTATGTGGATAT